AACAAATTCCGAAAGCGGTGCAAAGAGGCGACGTTTTGCTTCGGGCGAGGGATGATTGTGTAGCGAAGGTGGGGGGGGGGGCAGGAGAGGAAAAAAGCATTCATTCATTTCGATCGCAGGAAGTGAAAGGCCTTCGTTGGCCCGGCTTTTGGCACGTGCCAAGAATTTTCTTACGGATCGAGGATCAAAACCGATAGCGGAGGAGAAGCAGAGGGGGCTTGCAAACTAACTCGAGCCTTTTGAAAACCGCCGATGTGGGCGGGAAGAAAGTGTGGAAGAGGGAAAATGCGCGCCAAGGCGAACGGCGTTGAGCGAAATAAACCCTTGATTTGCAATTAACGGGGAACGCAGCTGGCTGCGATTAGGTTAACAGTCAGATACCTGCATTAAAGCGCCCCCGAAATGCTTAAGCTTTTCAAAGAAACTCGCATCCGGGTAGCGAACAACGCCTCGCCCTGCTGTGTGTCATGTGTTAAAAAGCAGGAAAGTCGCCCCCATCCTCGTCAGCACCTCTGCGTTGCGCCCAGTTTTTTTTCTTCAAACCCAGCCCTCCGCAGCGGGGACTCTTCGCTGCTCACCTCTCCTCCCCCTCCCTCCTTTGCTGCATTTGTGTGATGTGACAGAGGTCTTCAGCTCCCAATATCACTTATAAGGTTTGGCGGTCTCGGCCACAGAGCCGATCACCTTTATCCCCTCACCCTGCCCCACATTTCTGGGCTTTGTATAAAACCAGCAGCGTCTTCAGAAAAGCAGGCACCATTAGGGGAACAGCAATGCCGAGCAAGCGGAGTGCAACTCAAGCTCACGCAGACCGCTGCCGAAGATGATGCTGTAGAGTGTAGACGGATGCAGGGCCCCGGCTAACCGGGCTTTTGCCCTCGCAACCTCATCCCGATGACTTTTGGGTGGGGCACCTCTACACTAGTGCACCGACATGGCGAACAGGAACGGTTTCTCTTCGTTGGCCACAGCTCCCGGGGACGCGGCAGCGATGTGTCTCAGGAGTGCAATCTTGGCTACTCCAGAGGAAACACGCCCTCTCTTTCAGCACAAAAGAATCTGAGTGGAATGCAAATGACCGGAGGGGAAGCCTTATGCTTTCCAGAGGGACGTTGCGGGAAATAACCGGGCCTTCCGCTCTCAAGCTTGGAGCCCCTTAACGTGCCTGGCTTATTAAATCGTAGCAGCTTTGAGAGCTTCGTTCCCGACTTTCCCTGCATAGTCACAGGCTTCAAAGCAGTGGTGGGATTCAGATATGTGAATCCCACCATTGTGCGGATGCTGCTTCCATAAGTCCATTCTGGGCCTGGGCAACAAAAAATTAGCTACCGGTATTCTGCCGAAGTGGTGTGAACCAGCTGATTCCCACCACTGGTTCAAAGGTGTGTGCTTCCGGTAGCTTTTTTGCTTTCTTATAGTTGTGTGACAACGACCATGTGCCAAAGCATCAATTGTTGTAAAGCATAACTGGAGAAAGGAAAGGCCAAAATGGAGGAGAAACAGGTGAATTTTTGATAGAGGAGGTATGGGGAAAAAATTCTCAATACACTTTGGAGCAGAGGTGCCTATATTGGATTTGTGAATAATAATTGAGTTTAAATAGCCAGAAAATAGAAGTTAAAAATAAACATGCCAACAATCAGTTGTGTGTCACCTGAACTTCACTCATAGAGATATAATGCTACCCACAAACTTAAGTCCCCTGCAGGATCCTTAAATTCTTTGGTGTCTTTCAAAACTGTTAACAATTTAACTTTTCCTCTCTGAAAATAATTCCATAAATGTCATACAAATGCCAGCAAAAGCAGACTGAATGCACTTGAGCAAGTGGAAGTTTTGCAGATTCTCAAGAATTCAGAGCATGTTTTCCCCTCTAAACTTTAAAAGCATGTAATTATCCAAATCCTTAAACGTTCAATTTTTAATTTGAGTAATTCAAATGTTGTATTAAGGAGTAAGTAGGAATGACTGAATGGAGAGTTGTGGTGTTTCTATTTTAGCATTTTCTCCAGGGCTCCTGGAATTGATATTTCCTTGACAATAGATAAACCCATATAAGGAAAGCAAACCTAAATATAAGCATGTCTAATGGGTGGAGCCAAATTGTTTTTACCACAATTATACCTACCTTTTCATGTATTTCAGTTCAATTCTTAGCTGTAATTCTATGGAAACTTAATGTTTTGAAATCTTGTGAATATATATTTGGAGTTGAGCAACAGAAACCAACACAATTATTACAATATTTCCTCATGATGAATTTGATTTATACCTATTCAACAATTGTTTTGTTTGCAAGGGGGGGGTGTTGGAACTTAGTTATCACTTCAATTGGTAAAGACCTTTCCAATTTAGGAAAACAAAGTAGGTTATGGTTTTATGGGAAGGACAAGCTTAGTCACCTGTCTATAGGTGAGGCCTGGTTATTTTTCTAGGTGTGTACACAGAACAGGGATGGGCAGAGAGTACTGGTTTTACCTATATTTGGTAGGTTACTTTTACAAGCAATGTTGCAGCTTATGTGGGTTAGAAAAAGAAGCATTTTGTCTCCAGTCTGTTATGGCTGATTCTCACAGTTAAGTATTATGGATAGAAAAAAACAATGCTTGGAAATGTTCTAATAAGGAATCTTTCTCACCTGACATATATGTTTTCTTTCACACAGGTGAAACAATGATGCTGAAGCATATTGCACTTCTAACGTTCTGACATTAGGCAGAACTCAGCAGGGCAAAAGGTTTTTATACTGTAAAAAATCTAAAATGGAAGTCATAGCCAAGGAACAGCTATATGCTTTTCTTTGGCAGACTATCAGCTTACTATTATGCCATGTAAATGCAATATGTATAGGATCACAATAACCTCTTGTTCATTATGTCTTCTAAGCTACCTTGAATTTGCTTTATCTCAATATTTTAAAATAATTAAACGTGCTTCCTGTAAAGATAGTTCCAGAGATAGTAGAACAGTTTGTATGAATTTCAACAGAAAATTCTGTGGTTACACCCAAACCTCTTTTATTTAATCCTTTGAAAGAAAGGTGAAAACTTCGTATTCTTCAGTGTTATGAACCAAAGTTTGCTTATTTTTTTCTTTTATACATATATTTATTCATTGCTCCCCCTACAATCATATCTTTAAGCAGTTTATAATTAGTATTTTGTTTTATTTTACTTTATTTTAGTTTGAGGGAAGGAAAACAAAACATTCAACATTCATCCAGGGAAGGCCTAGGTAAAGAGACTGGACTTAAGCAGGTACCTAAAAGATGTAATGGTAGGTACTTATAATTTGAGGGGGGGAAAGCATTCCAGAATGCAGGCAACACAATAGGGAAAACCCACCCATGATTAACTGCGTAAGGTGGTCTGCCAGTCTACACACACAGCAGGATTTAAGATACCTAAAGATACTTAAACACTGGACTTATTTGTATATGGTATAAACCAGGATTCTTGGGCAAAATGTCCTCTATATCTAATTTACAGAACTAAACTCAAATGTTGGACACTAACCATTGATATCCTGCAGTCTTTCCCCATTTTTTTACCACTTGACAGATGCAAGTTTCTTGTTTCATGTTTTGCTTTGTAATCACATTAGGATCTATCCAGTATGTTTTTTTATGCATGATTTTTTTTTTGACTGGAGAAAATAAGAATTTCTTTGGCATCTTTGTATTCCTTGAATGTTCCTATTTTTCCTAGAGGTTCCTTAAAACATTGTGAATATTAGTGCATCACAACTCTTGGTTTGAACAGAGAAAACATTGTGCTGTGACTATAGGTACAAGAATCTTGCTGCCCTCATTCATGTAAATCATCTACAATGGCAGTCTTCCCTAACTTGATCAAGATTTATTAAACTACAGCTCCTATAATCTCCTGTAGCATGGTGTTTTGGCTATATCAATGAGGGATCATGAGAGTTATAATCCAATACAAATGGAGGGCCTCACATTATGGAAAACTGCAAAATAGGACATTCACTACTGTGAATGCAGAGTGTGAGGTATTGTACCAATCAAATTTGGCAATATGTGGGCCAAGGAAGCCATTTCAACCAATGAAGCAGCAGCTTTTTTAAAACACAGGAGTGGGCCAGGAGAAAAATGGCATTGCATGTAAAAAAGGACAAAGTTCTTGTCCTTCATGGTTGTGAAACAGATGCTGTTATCTTTGGCATTTAGAATACTACTAAATAGTAATTTTCTTACTGATAGTCCCTTGGCTACATTAAAGTCTCAGATGTGTTGAACTGCTTCACTAAACCCGAGCTATAAAACCAACTGCCACGTGAGTCCTTCTGCTTCATGATAGCCAAGTACCATATTCCAAAAGCAATCACCCCAAATTAAGATTCGTATATGATCTTGGTTCCCCTTAAGATATCCTGCATTTGTGTATTTTTCCGTGTGTGTGTGTGTGTGTGTGTGTGTGTGTGTGAAAGAGAGATCTGTTGACACTGCAGTTCCCTCATTGAGTGGCCAGTAATCAGGCCACAGGAAGGCCCCCCCCCAATGCAATAAGATAGGGGCTTGGCAAACTGGTACTCTCCAGATGTTTTGTACGCCCATGACTTCCAGAAAAAGGGTCACGGCAAGGGATAGTGAAAAATCAAACTACAAACATCTGGGGGCATCCCGCTACCTACCCCTGAAGTGCTGGAACGCTTCGACCTCCGGGTACCCCAATACACCCCCTGGAAGCTCGGGAATGATGCAGTGACTCCTGAACGCCCGTTTCTATCCTTGATACAGGGCCGGCTCGTTTATTGGGGCGCCCCTGCCTCGAGCCCTTTCAGTGCCGCCTTCCTCACCTGCAAATGGAGGAGCTGCGGCGAAGGGGTCGAGGAGCGCCCCTTCCCCCCCCCCCGCCGCTCATCCAGATTCCGGGGTTCAGAGAGGAGTTGCCAAGCCGCCTTCGTCTGCCCCACGTGGCCCGGCCCCCACCAGCCAATGGGAACTCGCACTTCTGAAAGATCTCCATATATGGCGATGTTCTCAGCCGGTGAGAGGGGGCCGGCTCCCCCTGGGTATAAAAGAGGCGGGGCTGGCGTTGGGACGGTCTCACTCAGCCGGTGGCAGCGGATCTAGCAGCATCGACTCCCCCTTTTATTTCTTTCTGAGAGCTTCTGCCGCTTTAACAGGTAGGTGTGATAATTTGGGTCCCTTCGCCGAGGCCTCCTTCGGCGCCTGACTCGCAATTTTCCTCATTTAATCGCTGGGGAGGAGAAGGCGCAATTTATTATTACAATTTTCTGGGATACCGATCGAGTGTCCGTGGTTGAGAGCCGTTAAACAGGCTCTTTGCGCTCTTCGTGGTTTCTTGAGGTGGGGAAGAGGCAGAAGCGTTCTTCGGGGACTCCGTGCGAGCTACCGGTTCGTGGGCGTAACGGTTCTCTGAATGGGGTGAGCGGGAGGGGGTGGAGTTGTTTGCCTGGTAACAGCCGCTCCGATGCGGTTGGCTGGTTTTGCTCGTTGACGTCATCAGGCGGGAAGTGGGGGGGAGTTTATGAAGAATAATAACGTGTGGGAGAGAACCGAGGTTCGCTAATTTTTCGAGGGAGGGAGGACTTTTGAGGGAATATGTCTGGAAAATGAGGCGTCTTCGTTAGGGGAGATCAAAGAATGGTGGTGGTAGGTGGTTTGGGAAGGCGGGGTCAGGGTTTGAATGGCATTCGTGAAGAAGTTGGGTGTATTGTGTCTTTTGTTGGCCAGCGTTATAGTGCACGCGCCGGGCTGATACACCTCCCTACCTGTAGGGAGCAATGCATGGTGATTTATTTAGCAGAAGATAGGAGAGCCTGTGAAATTTTACAGTCTTGGTTAAGGTGTTAAAGGTGTGAGATCGGAATTGGTTTCCTGGGAGCACTGAAGGTGGCTTGCCTTTCAGATAGGATGCCCTAATGGCATGTCTCATGGTAAATGGTATGGTACAATGGAAGCTTTTTCACAGTATGAATATCACAAAATTTGTTGGAGGGAAAGAAGACAGTCTTTTGTGTGGGAGGAGAAAGCCCCCAATACATACTGGATTGATGTTGGGAGTTTTAATTCAGAACTTTGGGAAAGTTCTACAAGAGTAGGTTAAACAAGAATCTTCTGCCTGCTTTAAAAGGCAGTTCTTACTGAAGTCCATATGATACTAATAGATAAGCATAGAGGACTGATGGTTTTTGGTGGCAGAGCTCAGAACAGGAACTAGGACTTGCTGATTCTGCAGTGGAAGTTAAATGAAGTAGGGTAAAGTGTTAAGCCCTGGTGGAAATCGTAAGTGGGTGGGGTTCCAGACATAAAGGCATTCAGAGCAGCCTCTAGTGGTAAAAAGTGGTAGAGTCAGTTAAGCACTGATTGTTGATGTAAGATTATTGCTGCAGTGATGGAACAAATCACAGTTGCTTAACATTCTTTTTTTATTGAATGCAGATCTGCAAAATGGAAGAAGAAATTGCAGCACTTGTCATTGACAATGGTTCTGGAATGTGCAAAGCAGGCTTCGCTGGAGATGATGCTCCTCGGGCTGTGTTTCCCTCAATTGTTGGACGCCCGCGCCACCAGGTAAGTTACCAAACAGCAAAGATATTAAGTGTTATTGAAAGATGGACTTGCCTTTTATTTATAATGTGCTAACTCATCTCTCTTTTTCAGGGTGTCATGGTCGGTATGGGACAGAAAGACAGTTATGTGGGAGATGAGGCTCAAAGCAAGAGAGGTATCTTGACCCTGAAGTATCCCATTGAACATGGAATTGTCACCAACTGGGATGATATGGAGAAAATTTGGCATCATACTTTCTACAATGAGCTTCGTGTTGCCCCTGAAGAACACCCAGTACTGCTTACAGAAGCTCCTTTGAATCCTAAGGCCAACAGAGAGAAAATGACACAGGTACAGCATTGGTACATCTTTTGCATCTATGATTTCCATCCATTCCATCCATTTCTTTCAGATTACAGCTTCTCTTTTTTGGTTATTTTCAGGGCTCTGTACTCTCCTGGCATTTCCTTCCTTCAAGTCTCTCAGGTTTCAGTTGTATTTCTGCTTGCTTTCTTTTGGTTTCTCCTCACATCAAATACTTTGCATGTCAGCATGGGTGTGTATTACAGAGTAAAACTGCTCCTTATTTAATAATTGCTTTCTTTTGTTTTAGATCATGTTCGAGACATTCAACACTCCAGCCATGTATGTGGCCATCCAGGCTGTGTTGTCCCTGTATGCTTCTGGTCGTACCACTGGTATTGTAATGGACTCTGGTGATGGTGTCACACACACTGTGCCCATCTATGAGGGTTATGCTCTCCCTCATGCCATCTTGCGACTTGATTTGGCTGGCCGTGACCTAACAGACTACCTCATGAAGATTCTGACAGAAAGAGGCTACAGCTTTACCACCACAGCTGAAAGGGAAATTGTCCGTGACATAAAGGAGAAGTTGTGCTATGTTGCCTTGGACTTCGAGCAGGAGATGGCTACTGCTGCTTCCTCTTCTTCCTTGGAAAAGAGCTATGAATTGCCTGATGGCCAGGTGATCACAATTGGAAATGAGAGGTTTAGGTGTCCTGAAGCCCTTTTCCAGCCTTCTTTCTTAGGTAAGCATTTGAGATAATGGAAACAATCTCCAAAGAAATGTACGGTTAAGTCACCGTTGAATAAATGAACAAATTGAGTTAAAAGTAGTTTGGCATACAAATGCAATCATGGGTGTTTTCTTCTAGGTATGGAGTCCTGTGGCATTCATGAGACTACTTTCAATTCTATCATGAAATGTGATGTGGATATCCGAAAGGACCTATATGCCAACACAGTATTGTCTGGTGGTACCACAATGTATCCTGGAATTGCAGACAGAATGCAGAAGGAGATCACAGCACTGGCTCCCAGCACAATGAAGATCAAGGTGAGGGTAACGGCATCATAATGGCTAGGGCAGATTCTTGGTGATACTCTTCTCTTTTAAAGCTTCAGAGCTGTTTTTAATAATGGCTGAATAACTTATGAAATACTCTTTTAACTCCTTTGTTTTCTATTCCAGATTATTGCTCCTCCTGAGCGCAAATACTCTGTCTGGATTGGTGGATCCATTCTTGCATCTCTCTCTACCTTCCAGCAGATGTGGATCAGCAAGCAAGAATATGATGAGTCTGGCCCATCTATTGTCCACCGTAAATGCTTCTAAAAAGACTATGGCAAATATGCAGTTTTTACTGCATTAAGTTTTTTCACCAGTATAAATTTGCCTGGGCAAATATATACGCCTCATGCTAGCCTCATGAAACTGGAATAAGCCTTCTCTTCAAACATTTGTCATTGGGAAGTCTGTCTCCAATAACCTTGTGAGGATAGCTTCCTGTTGCTGATAAGACCCTGAATGAACTAAAGTTCCCTTTGTACATAGTATAACTACCCTATACACATCTGGTCTAGGACACAGTACAGATGGTGTTCATGAACATAAGGTTTAACTGCCTGGGATAGTAGTCTCAGCATAACCAGTTATGTTGCAATGGAGTCTTGAGCCTAGATCTGTACAGGGTAGCAAAAGACCAGACTTCACTATACAAAGCGCTAAGAATTCCAGGTCTTTATTGTTGAGGCTGGCAAGAGTTTGTGAAAAGGATGGCCATTTTTGTCTTGCCACTGTTCCTACCAGGATTGGAAATGTATTGTGTCCAAGCCTTATGAATCTGTTTTTCTTTCCTTGCCCACCTATGTCCCAGCAAGACATCACGGGGCAAAACATTGTTCAACTTGAGTTGCTCCAATGTTGGCATTGACACCTGTAAATTTAATCATCAGGTTTAATTTATGTAAGATTTTTGTACGTTGCCTTAATGTTGTCACATGACAGTAGAAAACCAAAATTTGTAAGTCATCCTGAAGTTGAGAATTGTAATGCCCAACACTTCATTGTGAAAGGAAAATAAAAGCGCTGCAGTAAATGAAATGTGCATTGTCGTAAGGGAGATTATTTGCTGTTTTCACTTAATCTGAAATTCTACACAATGCCTTCATTTGGCAAGTCACAAAATTTGTAACTAGCAATGTATCCATCACTGCTGCAATTAAATTTTCATTGTTCCACCTCCACCAGCATTAGTTAACAAAGCCAAATAGTTACATAACTTGTCTGAAATGTACTAACATATGGAGAACATGTAGGCAAAACAGCAAAAGGTATGTTTTTTTTCATATATAAGGTGCTATCCTCCAAAGACTTATTTCAGAGAATTCATTGAAATTGACTAAAAAGATCGATTTTGATAAGCTAGGCTATGGTTGATGGGTCCTACCATAGGGCTTTTTGCATCATTAAACATTTCTGGTTATCCATAATAACCCCACAATCCTTTCAGTGCTGAGGTGAATGAAGTGTTTCATCCATAAAAAGTTGGATTACTTGGAAAAACTAAGGGCTTCATGTTATTAAATACTTTACTGATCAAAGAAGTTGGTAACACAATTCAGAACATAGAGAAAGCTATAATTTCATTGGTTTTCTCTGATGATAGTTCCATAATTGTAACTACATTTTCCAGAGGCCAAATATAATTTAACTGGATTAGGGTGAGAATTCTTTCTGGACAATTGAATGTTTGCATGGAACTTTTAATACCTAAAAGAAAATTAGCTTTATTGGAGTCACCTGCAGCATGTGCCAAATCATTGTCTTCACAACACTTAATTTTCAAAACAAGCCCAAAACTGGTGGATTTTGTAGATCCACAAAAATATAAATTTAAAGAATTTGATACAATGTTACGAGCTTTGAGAAATTAGCTCCATAAAACTGCTCTTTAAGAAATATACTTTAAAAGGAAAAAAAATTGTTCAAAAATGGAATACACTGCATAAAATAATATTGTTAGGTAAAAATTACACTAAAGGAAATAGCAGCACAATTGGTACAGATAAAATTTGGAAATTCTCCTGTCAGGAAGATTTCTTTTGAAGTCCTTTTAAGCAGACAAAGTAATCTTTTCAACATGCCAGTATGTCCCAAGGAAAAATTCAGCCAGGGAACCATTCCCTTGCATATATTTCCTTGGCCAAAAAAAGTTCTCACTACCTAAGTTCCCTGTTTCTATACCTGGTTATTGTACTTTTTCCAGTATCTTGGGGAATCCCCTAGTAGTGTGTTGGTAGTGAAGACTAGCATGCAGAAAGCAAGTGCTGGAGGCAGACAAAAGGGAGACTGAATTATGGTGCCAAAAGCGTAAATCTTTTCAGGAACTAAATTTGCACATTCATCCAAATGCCATATATTACAATGAAGATGTGCAAAACCTTTCAATACAAAACCATGTTTTTCCACAACTTCATTGGGGATGCTTAGAAAGGGATAAGCAGTCCAGTCAAGTATACAAAAAAAATCATTCCATCTGTTCTTTATTTTAAATTTATTAGATTTTTATTCAACACCATTCTCCCATTTTCCCCACAACAACCCTATAAAGTGGGTTGGGCTGAAAAAGTGATTGGCCCAAGGTCACCCAGTAGCTAGCTTTGATGCCTAAGGCATGATTAGAATTCAGAGTCTCAATGGTTTCTATTGTAATCTGCCTTAAACCACTAGATGAAATTGGCTGCTTCAATTTGATTGAACATGCCAAATGTGGAGGCATCAAATGCACTTTAAAATGAATCTGTTTATACTTGAAGATACTGATTCTGATAGATTAAAGCTGCCTTTCCTATTGCATGCTCTTTTTATCCCATAAAAGTACAAAACCTTTGGATTTCTTTGTCTGGGCAGGTTAAGGCACATAATTTGGAGAAAAAGGAAGCAGCTGAATCAGAGTGTAGTTTATGGAAGAAACTGCAGGAAAGTTCACTTGCTCCTGGATCTTTTAGAATCAAATGTAGGACTTGGGATATATCTAGGTTCACAGTATTGTTTTCTTTATATACTTTTATAATAAATTTAAAGTGTTTTTTTCTACTTTATTTTGGATTCCTGAAAGTAATTTGGAATTATTTATATTTAAAAGTGACCAACCTATGCTTCATCAACTTTTATAACAACAACAATAATAGTGCAAGCAAGAACATACAATAGAGAAAATAACAGAAAATGAAGAAGCTACAGTGCTCCAAGGCTTTAGAATTCAAACAGAGGCACCTGCCATATAACACTCCAGACTTAACAATTTTCAATAAGAAAGACAAAAAGGTCTAGATAGTGGATGTGGCAATACCTGGAGACAGCAGAACAGAAGAGAAAATTAAAAAATATATGAAGAGCTGCAAATAGAAGCGGAACAACAGTGGCAAAAGAAAGCAAAGTAGTACCAATAGTAATAAGCACCTTGGTTGCAATCCCAAAACAACTAGAGTACCACTTTAACACCACTGACATGGACAAAATCACCATCAGTCAATTGCAAAAGTTAGTGTTACTGGGAATAAGGAGGATATCTTTAACACCATCAAGCATTCACATTTGCCTATCCTTGGGAAGGACTCTTAGGTGGGTAAAGAAATCCATCTGACTGTACAATGAAGCTTAATAATTTCTTCTCTGAGTCCTATCTAAACTGAAATGCATGTTTTTGCGTCTTTTTGTCAAAATAATAGAATTCAACAACTTACAATTTTGGAATTTGGCTCCTGATAACACTAAATTTCTTTAGTATAACTGTTCTTGTCCTTTCTTTGATTTCTTCACCGTGGAGATGCTCTACCCATTTCTAAGATTAATAATCCTATTTCTTCATATGCCTTCAGTGTTTCTTTAAACAGACATGTCAAACACAAGGCCCGGGGGCCGGATGCGGCCTGTAAAGTGGTTTCATGTGGCCCGTGAAGCCATCCTGGAAACAGTGAAGGAACGGCCCCCGCTGCCTTGGCCCTGGCCAGCCAGGAGCCAATGTACAATTTTGTGGTGGCCATCTATGCTGAAACGCATTCAGTCTTAGCTCCACAAGGCCGTCCGGGAACAGCAAGGAACCAGCCCCTGCCGTGTCGGCCTCGCCCCCTGGGTGCATGCTGGGGAGGTGTCACCCTTTGTGAGGAATGAAGAAATGGACCATGCCTTGGCACTTGCCCCGGTCCCACACCCTTCTGCCAGAGACCCTCAGATCTGTCCCACTCCTGCTCAGGCCCCAACAGGCACCCTTGACGGGAACAATGTAGAGCTGGGCATGCCCACCCAGTAGGCCACACCCACTCCATCCATGCCCACCCAATAGGCTGCACCCACCCTGGTCACACCCACCCGGCCTCCCAAGGGCAACCTCAATGCTGATGCGGCCCTCAATGAAATTGAGTTTCACACCCCTACTTTAAAAATAATCAGTTCTAGGTTTATTTATTTATATCACATTATTTTTACAAATAACTCAAGAGGGCAAACATATTACTTGCTGTTGTCCTCTGCCCCTTAATTTGTTTGCATCTCTCAGCTTGTTACCGGTATTGCTTTTAAAAATATTAAGGCTACAGCCTTGAACTGTAGTTAACTTTTTTTGACATCCATCTGCTTCACTTACACATTCAAATGTTCCTGAGCAATTAAAATCTGATGAGATAATTCCAGATGTTTTGTTCATTTTATAAAGATCTTCATTGATAGCTAATCATCTGTGCCACAGTTTAGGGCATGTTTTTCAACTATTCCTGGATAAAGTCAGTACTGCTTTGCATAATAACCTCTCTTTGGTTGGGAAATGGAAAGGAAATGATGACTTACCAATTGTGCCAAATTCAATATTTGTATTTTAGTCATCACTTGCTCATCAGAATATTATAAAATCAAGCAGCCACACCCTGACAATTTATGTAACCAACATTTATTCCATTTTTTTTTGGGGGGGGGGAAGAGAGCCAAAAAAAAAATGGCCAATTCAACATATGCTAAAATTGCTAGTTAGGCTGTTGCTCTTACATCCTGTCCCATTCCTCTATTTAAAATGGATAGTTACATCTAGACAACACCTCTTGTTTGTGTTCCAAGCCTTTGCATTTAATTAGCCACTATAAAAAAGGGGGGGAGGGCATCACTTAGCAATAGTAGTTGGGAACAGAAGTCACAATGGAGAGAGTCAATATGCTAAACTCTGTGTGCATAAACTGCTCAGTAATGGGATTAACAGAGGGCGCATTGCTGCCAACACTCTGTACTGTTCCTCCTGCTGTTTTCTTGATTCAAGTCTCATTTTCTACCCCCTCCCTGCATTCCACACCCTTGGACTCCTTTGTCTGGGAATTTAAAAAAAAAACCCTCATCCTAGGGGATTTGGCAGCCAGATGTCACCTACTAAACATCAGAGGAGCTAGACTAATGAATTCAACTCTCCCTTTGCCTGTTGAACTGTTGATTTGTCCCTCTCCCACTTCAATTCTAGCATTCCTGCTGTCAAGCAAAGTATCTTGTCTGCAGGAACTTTCATGACACCATAGGTCGGATCTTCCAATACCTATGCTGGCTTTTACCTGCTCCACCTTTGTTGCAATTGTTGCATCTTCCAGATGTTCTCTTAGAACCTTACCTGTACTCTCTTGGTACCAACCTCTGGAGGAGAGAAGGGAGATAATCTTCCATTGTAGAACTCCATTTATCTTCAGTCTTTTTTTCTTTCTTTCTTTCTTTCTTTCTTTCTTTCTTTCTTTCTTTCTTTCTTTCTTTCTTTCTTTCTTTCTTTTTTTCTTTCTTTCTTTCTCTCTCTCTCTCTCTCTTTCTTCTTTCTTTTTCTTTTTTTCTTTCTTTCTTTCCTTTCTTCCTTTCTCTTTCTTTTTCTTTCTTTCTTTCCTACCTACCTACCTACCTACCTACCTACCTATTTATCCATCCATCCATCCATCCATCCATCCATCCATCCATCCATCCATCCATCCATCTATCTATCTATCTATCTATCTATCTATCTATCTATCTATCTATCTATCTCATCTTATTAACCACCCATCTTCCTCACAGAGAGGGTCTGGGCAGTGTACAATTTAATCAATA